GGACGCGGGGGGTGGCGCCTTGGGGGGGCCCCCCGAGCCACAGCGCTTCTGCGGGGGCCCGCGGAACCTGGCGGCGGGGCTCTCCAGGCCTCCCCTGGCCGCAGCGCTTTCGGCACAGGGAGCTGGGCTTGTTGCCACGCGGGCTGCCGGAGTGGTGCTCCGGCGCGCTCTGGCCCCAAAAGACTCCTGGTGTCCCTTGCTCGAAAGCCAGTCAAATCAGACTCTACGGTTGTGGTGCTCATCTCCGTTTCCAAGCCGAAGAGCCAGCGCTGTCCGATGACGTTTCCGTGGCCATGTGGCCGGCATGACTAGACGCCGAGGCGCACGGAACACTATTACCTTCCCACCGAAGCAGTACCTATTGATCTACTTGAAATTTCTTGCTTTCGAACTGCTAGATACCTCATTTAAAAATAATCGAGCAAACCATTCATACAGTTTCCGAATCATAAACAAAATATTCACACAATACAAAATTAATCCACTCAAAATCATTCATAGTAAGGGTGTAAATAATTCAACGCAAGTCCTTTACAAGGCTCAAAAAGTCTAGAATTTATCCATAGTGCTTGGTCCCTCCTGAACCTGGTAGTTACCAATCAGTATGTACTTAATGTTATTGCTTATAGGATGTAATGAATATTTATACCTGACTAGGATGAAATAATGATACACTATGCACTTTACTAAATGATGACCATAAACCGAACACATTAGTTTGTTAAAAGGTTTTTGCAGTGTCTATTTATTTGTTACTAGACCCACCTGGAGGGTGGCCAACCTTATTCCCAGTTTGGCAACCGCTCAAGAAACAACACAAGTGGCGTGATGGGTTGAGCACAGGGCACATCCTAAAAAGCACAGAGGGCAGCTCCTCGCCATCTCTGCGGGCCAGCGATTAGATAATCCAAGCGAATGGCCTGTCCTTTAACAGAGCTGGAAAACAGCATGTGGAGAACTGTTGCCCTCAGTGTCGTGGAGAACCATTTATACCTGACAGAGGCCTTGAGGGGGAAAATAAGGAATCGAATTAAAAATACCAATCCAAACAAAGGTTAGGGAGCCGTTCAAACAAACACGAGAGGGCAGAAGACCAGCCCTCTCGAAAGAGCACTTGGCAGTTTTATTATGTTCCCGGCCTCTCCCCGTGGCTTTCTGTTTGCCTTATGATTAGGCCTGACGGGGCCTTCCTGAACCATGATTTAAGGCGCCCAAAGTCCCCCCCCTTCCCCAAGTCTCCCGTAGTGGCAGTGACACAGGACAGTTTACGCCAAGGGAACAGTGCGAGGAAGGGAAAAGCTGACAACACGGCTGAAGAATCCAGTAATGTAACAGTGTTCGGCCTTCCTGAACCATGATTTAAGGCGCCCGAAGGCCCCCCCTCCCTAATTCTCCCGTAGTGGGAGTGACACAGGGCAGTTTACGCCAAGGGAACAGTACGAGGAAGGGAAAAGCTGACAACGAGGCTGAAGAATCCAGTAATGTGACAGTGTTTATAAAACGGAATTAAAAAGGGCATCAGGCAGCGCACAACCGGGTTTCTCCTTTCTCCTTGGAAAGGGCGGTAAAAATAGAACTTTTGTACACGGGAGCAGGGGAGGACTAAGCATTAAGCAGACTAGGAACGTGCTTAGGGCACCAGGGCCAAAGGGGGCACCACAAAGTTGGGAAAGGGGTGAAAAGAAGAAAAAAAAGAATGAAGATTTGTAAAAAAAATATAAATTGATAACTTGTGAAATATTAAAATAGATGTCATATTGCATTTTTGTAGAACTTTATGTAGCCCAAGCTTGGCTTAGTTTGTACAGTATATTGTGTTATCCTATGAATAAATGTTTGTATCGCTGCAACCTGCATTGTATATCTGGTCAGACAGGTCAACAACTAAAATGGACTGGGGGCACCAAGATGGGTCAGTGCTTAGGGCACCGGAGAGCCTTAATCTTCCCCTGCACAGGAAGAGGCGGGCGATTCTCTCCCCATCCCCTTTTTCACGGCTTTTCTCCCCCCTGTCCCGCTCTCTGTTTCCTCTTTTAACAAAGGACCTGAAAATCCTTTTGTTCGGCTCCAGCCTTGGCTGCTTCAGTGAGGAGTGGAAGATCCAGAGCTTCGCGTTCAGCGATGTCCCGGAACTGAAGTATGGCATCGTGCAGAAAAAGGTAACGCCGAAGCCAAGCGAAGGAGGTCTTTGAGCTTTATCTAGGGGACCCTTTTCGGGACCTCACCTCACTGGAACGAGCAGGGGTTATGCCCAAGCAGATGAACAAGGGTTGCACACAGGTAGACGAGGGAACGGACAGGGGTTGTGCAAAAGCAGGAGGGGGAACATACTGGGGTTGCACACAGTTAGGTGGGGGAAAGTATAGGGGTTGCACACAAGCAGGCAGGGCACTTTCCCACTGGGTTTATTTTTTTGTTTATTTATATATTAATTTGTTAATTGCCCAGTCCCTGAGAGCCAGTTTGGTGTAGTGGTTAAGTGCGCGGACTCTAATCTGGGAGAACCGGGTTTGATTCCCCACTCCTCCACTTGCACCTGATGGATGACTTTGGGCAAGCCATAGTTCTGGCACAGCTGTTCTTGAAAAAGAGCAGTTTCTGTCAGAGCTCTCTCAGCCCAACTTACCTCCCAGGGTGTCTGTTGTGGGGAGGGGAAGGGAAAGGAGTTTGTAAGCCGTTCTGAGACTCCTTCAGGTTGTGAAGGGCGGGGTATAAATCCAATCTCTTCTCTTCTTCTTCTTGTGGACTGGCCAGAGGAGCAACAGAGATGATATAGCCCTCAGCTCACCGGGCAGCCTATCCCACAGAGATGGGGCTACAACAAAACAGGCCCTTCCTGACTGATCCAAACTTACCCACTGTCATCGTCATCTTCTTCCTCTTCCTCCTTTTCCTTCTCCTTCCCCTCCTTCTCCTCCTCCTCCATTTCTTCCTTCTCCTCCTTCTTCTCCTCCTCCTCCTCCTCCTCCTCCTGCATGGTCCTCATGGCATTTGGCAGAGAGTTCCATCAGATTGGCACCAGGACCAAAAAGGCCCTGGTCCTAGTTGGGGACAGCCGGATAACTTTAGGGCCGGGGACCATTAGCAAGTTGTTATCTAAAGACTGTAACACTCTCCCGGAGACATAGTGGAGGAGACAGTCTTGAAGATACATCGGTCCCTGACTGCTCAAGGCCTTGTAGATCCAAGACCACCAAGAAACATAAGAACATAAAAAGAGCCCTTCTGGAACAGACCAGTGGTCCATCTAGTCCATCATCCTGTCTCACACAGTGGCCAGCCAGTTCCTCTGGAGGGCCAACAACAGGGCAGAGAGGCCGAGGCCTTCCCCTGATGAGAACATCAGAAGAGCCCTGCTGGATCAGACCAGGGAGGGTCCATCTAGTCCAGCATCCCGTCTCACACAGTGGCCAGCCAGTTCCTCTGGAGGGCCAACAACAGGGCAGAGAGGCCGAGGCCTTCCCCTGATGAGAACATCAGAAGAGCCCTGCTGGATCAGACCAGGGAGGGTCCATCTAGTCCAGCATCCCGTCTCACACAGTGGCCAGCCAGTTCCTCTGGAGGGCCAACAACAGGGCAGAGAGGCCGAGGCCTTCCCCTGATGAGAACATCAGAAGAGCCCTGCTGGATCAGACCAGGGAGGGTCCATCTAGTCCAGCATCCCGTCTCACACAGTGGCCAGCCAGTTCCTCTGGAGGGCCAACAACAGGGCAGAGAGGCCGAGGCCTTCCCCTGATGAGAACATCAGAAGAGCCCTGCTGGATCAGACCAGTGGCATCATCTTCTCTAGGGGGAATGCCCGCCAGAGTTTGGAGCAGTGTTCCCTCTAAGCTGAGTTAGTGTGAGCTAGCTCACTGTTTTTTAACCTCCAGCTCACACGTTTTTGCCTTCGCTCAGGAAGGAGGGCTCCAGAGCAAACTGATGTATGCAGCAGCCCAATCGCTCGCTCACCACTTGAATGCCAGGAGCTCACAGAGTGGAATTTTTGCTCACACGACTCCACAGCTTACGGGGAGCACTGGTTTGGAGCTGAGCTGTAATTCCTGTGGATCTCCAGGTCTCACCTGAAGGGTGGCATCCCTTCTCAACAGCCCTGCAGCAGGTCCAGCTTTGGGGGTTAGGGTTGTCAAACTCCAGGTGGACCAGGGAGGGTCCATCTAGTCCAGCATCCCGTCTCACACAGTGGCCAACCAGTTCCTCTGGAGGGCCAACCACAGGGCAGAGAGGCCAAGGCCTTCCCCTTTGGTTTGGGGCCATTTGGCAGAAGCGCTGAGGAGGTAAGAGCCTTTTCAGACACCTCCCCCCCCCCCTCAGCCAACCTTGGCTATACATCTCAGGAGAATCAACAGCTTTTGCACTATACTCCACTAGGGGTTGGGAAATTCCTGGAGATCTTAGGGAGACGCTTGGGGAGGATGGGGTTTGGGCAGGGGAGAGGCCTCAGTCAGATATAAGGCCATGGAGTCCCCCCCTTCAAAGCATCCATTTTTCACCAGGGGAACTGAACTACGTCCTCTGTAGATCAGTTGTAATTCCAGAAGGTCTCCAGGTCCCCACCTGGAGTTTGACAACCCTAACCCCCAAACCTGGACCTGCTGCAGGGCTGTTGAGTAGGGATGCCAACCTTCAGGTGAGACCTGGAGATCCCCAGGAATTACAGCTCATCTCCAAACCAGTGCTCCCTGTAAACTGTGGAGTCTTGTGAGCAAACATTCCACTCTGTGTGCTACTGGCATTCAAGTTGTGAGCGAGCGATTGGGCTGCTGCATAAATCAGTTTGCTCTGGAGCCATCCCTTCCTGAGCGAAGGCAAAAATGTGTGAGCTGGAGGTTAAAAAACGGTGAGCTAGCTCACACTAACTCAGCTTAGAGGGAACATTGCTCCAAACTCTGTCGGGCATTCCCCCTAGAGAAGATGATGCTTTGGACTTTATGGTGTACCCGCGGAAGTCCCTGTCCTCTCCAGGCTCCATCCCGAAATCTCCAGGAATTTCCCAACCTGGATCTGGCAACCGTAACCCCCAACCGCCCCCCACCGTGGCTAGGAGGGACTCAGCAACCCAATTGCTGAGCTCTGCCCCTGGAACCCGGCCCCCCACGCATGGCTCCAATCCCACAGTTCCAACGGGCTTTACTTCCAGGCGATGCTCCCTCTAAGCTGTGGAGTCTTGTGAGCAAAAATCCTGCTTTGTGAGCTCCTGGCATTAAAGTTGTGAGCGAGCGATTTGGCTACTGTATCAATTCGTTGGCTCCGGAACCATCCCTTCCTGAGCTAAGGCAACAAATCTGTGAGCCGGAGCCTAGAAAACTGTGAGCTAGCTCACACTAACTCAGCTTAGAGGGCACACGGCCTCCAGGCCCAGCTGAGGAGCCAGAATTCAATTTAAAGACCTGGCAAACCGAAATTGCAAGACCAGGGCTCTTTTTGTAGAAAAAGCCCAGCAGGAACTCATTAGCATAATAGGCCACACCCAACAGCAGGAACTCATTAGCATATTGGGCCACACCCCTGACAGCACAGCTCATTAGCACATTAGACCGCACCCACATGTTACCAGAAGTGTGGTCATCCAGCCACACCCACCTTTTGCTTGTTATTCTGTTTACCTTGTTTGTTGTCAAAAACCCAGGGCCTTTTTTGTAGCAGGAACTCCTTTGCATGTTAGGCCACACCCCCCTAATGTAGCCAATCCTAATGAGTTTCTGCTGTTGGGTGTGGCCTGTTATGCTAATGAGTTCCTGCTGGGCGTGGCCAACTTGGGAGCCAGCCGGAACTCCGTTCCTGTGTGTTCCTGCCCAAAAATAGCCCTGGCAAGAACTCTTCTGTATCCATTTTTATCCCACCTTTTCAACTGGTGATGCCAGCGACTGAACCTGGGACCTCCTGCGTGCCAAGCAGATGCTCTGCCACTGAGCCACACGGCCACTCCCCTCATCCACAATGCATTGCGCAGATGTCATCCAGGAATTGTTTTAGCCAGGGCTCCGGAACGCCATCCAACGCTCCCTTCCTCAAAACAAAAAATCCCACCCAAACTGGCTGGACTTCTAAATAAATACACGTAGGGTCACAGCGGCCGGCCTTCGGGAGCCACTGTAGAAAATCACACCCGCTGTGACATTTGCTCAGGTAATTTGGCCGCCAGGAAACTGGGCTGTTGTTTTCTTCCTCGAGAGTGGAACAAAAGCAGCCGCGTCCCCGCGATGTTATCACGGCCTGCGCACACTTGGGGTTTTTCAGGAAAGTGGGGAGGGATGCGGCCTTTCGGTGGTGAATACAGCACTAGAAATGCACATCATTTTATGGCCGAAGCAGAGGAGGAAAAAACGGGGGGGTCTAGGGAACCAGGAGCTTGCAGTGGGTCTCCCCTGAATGCCAAAGACCAGCCTGAAATCACCCCTCTGTTTGCCTTCCTCCTTCGTGTGACGCCGCCGTCTAGGGGGGACCTTGCGGAGTGCTGGCAGCTGTCCAGGGCTGTGTCCTGCGGCATCTTATCTTCGGAGACAGTAGCGAGAACAGTGGCGATCCTTGGTAAGTCAGCACGTCCCAGAGCCGGGAGCACTTTCTGTCCCAAACTGGACGAAAAGGCCCTGTATTGTTGCGAGGGGGGGAGAGGGGGCCTATCTGGACTGACCTGATAGAGGAAGATAAAGCATCGGTGGACATGCTCACGTTGACGGAGGCTAACGGAAGCCGGAAGTGGTTAGCAGCCAGGTGGGTCCCAAAGTCAAATCTGGAAAACCAGGGCTATTTTTGGGCAGGAACGCACAGGAACAGAGTTCCGGCTGGCTTCAGAGTTGGTCACGCCCACTACAGCCAAAACCTCTGTGTGCGTGGCTACAGAGGGAAGGCCTGGAGAGCGACCCCCCCCCCAGCGACTCCAAGAGGCCATGGGGGGCCCTGGAAGTATCAGGGAGGCATTTAAATGCCTCCCCTGGCCTGTCCAAGGGCCGGCTTGCCTGGGCTCCCCACAGCTGCAGGGTGCAAGCCAAGGGAAGGGGGAGCTTTCCCGGGCTCCCCAAAGAAAGGCATGGGGGTGTGTCCTAATCTGCTAATGAGATTCTGTTGGGTGTGGCCTATTATGCTAATGAGTTCCTGCTGGGCTTTTTCTACAAAAAAAAGCCCTGTGAAAAACTATCCAATAACAATTCTCATACTATGCGGGGTTTTGGGCCATCAACTCACAGCTGACTCATGGTGACCCACAGGCACTCACATGGTGCCTGTGAGTGCCCCGTGGGTGCCATGGTGACTAAGTCATAACAGGGGCCAGCTCGACTTAGCTTCCAAGATCTGAGTAGATCAGATTAGCCTGGGCCTTCCAGGTCAGGGCCTCCATATCCTTACTCTTTGGAATACCCCGTTCCGTCTGTAGTTTTCCTGTTATTTACCCGTCTCCCGAAGTCTTGTCCTGGCATCTCTGAACAGATGAGAAAGAACTTTGGGCGGTACGGGACCTTAAGCTTGCTTTCCTCTGCTGGTGTGCCCAGAAGTTCCACTTCCCTCCAGAGCAACTTCTGACGTCCCACGGTCCCAAAGGCCGATGAGGAACACCAGTGTTCCTTCTTTCATGCCTGGCGCTTTGATTTGATGTTCAGTCCTTTTTATCATTAGATCTTTTCACACCAGCGGTGGGAACATTTGGAAGACATCCATTTCAGGCTGAAGTTGCTATTGTCTGGGACTCCGGTGGCATTTCCAAACTGGGGTGGGGGGGAAGGCCTTTGATTTCGTTTTTTGTTTGATTTAATAGAAAGTTAAACCCCCCGATCGTCTTTCTATGTCCTTTTTTGCTTTGTCCCCCACTGTCCCAGCACTAATTTTTTCTGCATGTATCTTTCATCCCTGGTCAGTTGATAGTTTGGCCAGAGGGCAAGGCCCCACCCACTATCCATTAAAATAACAGGCAGCCATAAGAACATATGAAGAGAAGCCATGTTGGATCAGGCTGATGGCCCATCCAGTCTGTGTCGCACAGTGGCCAAAACCCACGTGCCACCAGGAGGTCCACCAGTGGGGCCCAAACTCCAGAAGCCCTCCCAGTGTTGCCCCCAGAAGTGCCAAGAAGACAGAGCTTCACTTGCCCCAGACACAGTGTTCCATCTGTGCCTTGTAACTAATAGCCACTGGTGGGCCTCTGCTCCATATGTTTATCCATAAGAACATAAGAGAAGCCATGCTGGATCAGGCCAGTGGACCACCCAGTCCAACACTGTGTCACACGGTGGCCAAAAATACCAGGGGCCATCAGGAGGTCCACGAGTGGAGCCAGAAGCCCTCCCACTCTTGCCTCCCAAGTACCAAGAATACCGAGCATCACTGCCCCACACAGAAGAACGTAAGAGAAGCCATGCTGGATCAGGACAATGGCCCATCCAGTCCAACAATCTGTGTCACACAGTGGCCAAAACCCAGGTGCCATCACGAGGTCCACCAGCAGAGCCAGAACTCCAGAAGCCCTCTCACTGTGGGTCCCCCCCCCAAGCACCAAGAATACAGAGCATCAATGCCCCAGGCATAAGGACATAAGAGAAGCCATGTTGGATCAGTCCAGTGGCCCATCCAGTCCAACACTCTGTCACACAGTGGCCAAAACCCAGGTGCCATCAGGAGGTCCACCAGCGGGGCCAGAACTCCAGAAGCCCTCCCACTGTTCCCCCCCCCCAAGCACCAAGAAGACAGAGCATCACTGTCCCAGACATAAGAACATAAGAGAAGCCATGCTGGATCAGGCCAGTGGACCACCCAGTCCAACACTAGCTGTATTCGTGTGCATAGAGGTTTTTCTTCCGTCTGGCCGGTGTGTGTGTGCGTGTGTGTTTGTGTGCTCTGCCTTCCTGAACAGAATGTTGAAATATTTTGCAGACGAAAGCCTTCCAATCCAAAAAGGCATAAGAACAAATTACCATTAATGTCTATTTCCCCTCTTTTCCGGCAAAATAAGTCTCTTGGGCCCACCCGAAGTACAACTTTTTACATCCTGCAGAACTCTCTGTCTGGGGCAGAATCATTTCCCAGTGTTTGTCCTTAATGAGCCTTTCCCTAATTGCATCCCATCACCTCGGCTTCCAGCCCCCTCACCAAGCTCAGCATTTCCTCTCTTGCGTTTTCTCCACCCGTCGGATAGTTCCAGATGGCTGCCGTCAATCTCTTTCTCTCTCTGCCTCTGCCCTTGGATTTCGGTAACCGGCTCTGTGCAACAAGGGCGATTCTGCTTCTGGCACTCGCTCCACCTTTTCTCAACACTGAAGAAAAGGTGCCACTCAAAATCACATACAAATACCCTGGGGCAGGGGTCATTTTGTAGAAAAAGAGGTGCAGGAGCTCATTAGCATAAATTATTTGCATATGCCACACCCTCTGACATCACCGGAAGTGTGTCAGAAGGCAACACACACTGCTCAGGCTCCACTGGACTGTTTTGTACTGCTAGCTATTGGGGGTGGGGGGGAACGTGGAGATCTGCCCTCGCAGAGGAGGGGGAGCTTGTACCTGAATAAAACTTGGTCTTAAAGGTGCCACTGGACTCTTTTGGACCAGGGGGCCGGGGTGTGTGTGTCTCTGCAACTTACCTGGCTGCTTCTTGCTCTGACTGAGGGCTGCTGGGAGCAGGGGGTGGGGCTTGTTGCATGTGCCCTCCCCCTAGGCTCTTTACTGCCAGAGCTCCGCTCCTGTGCGCTCCTGCAGGAAATGACCCCTGCCCTGGGGCAACACTTTCCTGACTGCGGTCACCCCTGAACGGCCATCAATCTATGCAGAAGGTGCCGTAAAACCCGATGATCGAAGAAAGCAAAAGCGGCATAAATTGGAGGCGACTTCACAGCACTTCACAGCCCCACAGTCCCTTAGAGACCAACACGGATCTTCAGGGTATGAGTTTTCACAAGTCAAAGCTCCCTTCGTCAGATACAGAGGGCAGAAACCACGTCTGCCCTTGCATCTGGGACTCTAAAGCTCCAAGGCAGCTTTCCAGGTGGCTGGCTCGCAAACCCGGTCAAAAGCACGTTCCGTCTCAGTTGTACTTTAGTATGTAGGTCTCCACCTTTTCGGAATCCTGGCCTCTGAAATCGTGGCCTCTCTGGAGAGAGGTCCAAAGCACAGTTCAGCCAAAGGTTCTCATCTCCCCCTTTCCCCATCCTCCTCTGTAGATTGTAAACACTGATGCCTTTGCTTTTCCTGTTCCCAAACTGCAGGGACCTTCGGCCTTCGGAAGCCCGCAGGAGTGAATGCCTCGCTTTGGCTCTCGCCGATATTTTATGGCGCGCCGGTGGCAGCGAGAAAGCCACGGTGGCCTTGTAAGTGGAAAGCATTTTGTTAAAGGACTGGTTACAGTTTCTTCAGGCAGGTGAAATTGTCCATTAATACTCCCCCCTCCACTTCAGTTGGGTGAGGCCCTGACTCAATGGTAGAGGAGGAGAAGAAGAAGGAGATTGGATTTATACCCTGCCCTTCACTACCCCAAGGAGTCTCAGAGTGGCTTACAAACTCCTTTCCCTTCCCCTCCCCACAACAGACACCCTGTGAGGTAAAAGAAGAAGAAGAAGAGATTGGATTTATACCCCGCCCTTCACTTGGAGTCTCAGAGCGGCTTACAAACTCCTTTCCCTTCCCCTCCCCACAACAAGACACCCTGTGAGCAATGCTCCCTCTAAGCTGTGGAGTCCTGTGAGCAAAAATCCTACTTGGTGAGCTACCGGCATTAAAGTTGCGAGCCGGCAATTTGGCTACTGCATAAATCAGTTTGCTCTGGCGCCATCCTTCCTGAGCTAAGACAGAACTGTGTGAGCTGGAGGCTAAAAAACTGTGAGCTAGCTCATACTAACTCTGCTTAGAGGGAACACTGCCTGGGAGGTAGGTGGGGCTGAGAGAGCACTGCCAGAAACTGCTCTTTCAGGGACAGCTCTGAGTCATTGAGCAGCTGCAAGTGGAGGAGTGGGGAATCAAACCCGGTTCTGCCAGATTAGAGTCCGCGCACTTAACCACTACACCAAAGTGTAGCGCTGCCTTATACTGCCTTACACTGATGCTGGATGTCGGTCCATCTCTTTTGGCCGGCAGTGACTACCAAAGTTCCCAGGCAAAATTTGTTTTTTCTCCCCTCGCAGAATCTGGAACCTTGTACGCTTACCATGAAGTTATGGTAAACATGGGAGAGTAGGGTTACCAGCTCCATATTGGGAAATGCCTGGAGATTTGGGGGGGCGGAGCCTAAGGAGGGCGGGGTTCGGGGATGGGAGGGACTTAAATGGGGTAGAATGCCCTAGACTCCAGCTTTCGAAGCAGCTGTTTTCTCCAGGCAAACTGGTCTCTGTCACCTGGAGGTCAGTTGTAAAAACGGGAGATCTCCAGCCACCACCTGGGGGCTGGCAACCCTATGGGAAGAGGAGGAGAAGACGAGAGATTGGATTCATACCCCACCCTTCACTACCCAAAGGTGTCTCAGAGTGACTGACAAACCCCTTTCCCTTCCCCTCCCCACAACAGAAACCCGTTGAGGTAGGTGGGGCTGAGAGAGCTCTTGACAGAAACTGCTCTTGAGAGAGCGACTCTGACAGAAGAAGAAGAAGAGTTTGGATTCATACCCCGCCCTTCACTACCCAAGGGAGTCTCAGAGCGGCTCACAATCTCCTTTCCCTCCCCCTCCCCACAACAGACACCCTGTGAGGTAGGTGGGGCTGAGAGAGCTCTGACAGAAACTGCTCTTTTCAAGGACAGCTCTTATCAGAACTACAGCTGGCCCAAGGTCATCCAGCCAGGTGCAAGGGGAGGAGTGGGGAATCAAACCCGGTTCTCCCAGATAAGAGTCCGCGCACTTAACCACCACACCAAACTGGCTCTCTAGTAGTAGTGCAATGATCAGAGTGTGGGATCAGGATTGAATCCCCGCCCTGCCATGGAAGCTCACTGCATGACCTTGAGCCAATCTCTTATCCTCAGCCTAACCTACCTCACAAGATTGTTGTGAAGATAAAATGGAAGTGAGGAGAATGATGTAGGCTGCTTTGGGTCCCCGTTGGGGAGAAAAGTGGGGAATAAATAGATATGTAAGGATGCCCGTCCTTCCTCAAGGATACATGCAGTTGCTTCACATCAGCTGGTCCATCTAGTTGTAGCTTTCCAGGGTCTGCTTAAAGAAAGTCAGACAGAGACCTGACATGAAGGTGTAATCGAGTTCCATCACAGTCTCTAAACTGGGGTCCCCAAGCTTTTGGAGCCAGTGGGCATCTTTAGGATTCTGACACAGTGCAGTGGGCACAGCTACATAATGACTACTGCAGAAGGTAAAGCTGGCCACAAAATGGCTGCCGCAGGAGGCAAAGCCAGGCACAAAATGGCTGCCACAAAATGGCTGCCGCAGCAGGGAAAACCAGCTACAAAATGGCCGCCCCAGTTTACCTTCAGTCACCCAGTGAAGACCCTTGTGCTGCATAAGGTTGCCAGCCTCCAGGTGTGGCCTGGAGATCTCCTGCTTTTTACAACTGATCCCCAGCTGACAGAGATCAGCTCCCCTGGAGAAAATGGCTGCTTTGAAGGGTGGACTCTATGGCATTGGACCATGCTGAGGCCCCTCCCCTCCCCAAACCCCGCCCTCTCCCCGATCCACCCCCAAAGTCTCCAGGTATTTTCCAACCCAGAACTGGCAATCCTTGTGCTCTGGTGGCAGCTGCTGCCAAAGCCACGTTTTTAAAGATCTCCACAGCCAATCCAATCACCAGTGGCCAATCAGAAGCCTTGCTGGGCAAAAGCCCCATGTAGGCCCCACCCACTTTCTATAAACACTAGGCGGGCACCGGGAAATGTCTCTGCGGATGCCATGGCGCCTTTGGGCACCACGTTGGGGACTATGGCTTTACGCTTTGATCGCATTTAGGTACGCACG